TTGATGAGCATGCTAATCCAATGCTTAACTATGTCCTACTTATAGGTCGTTATTATATATTTAAGTGCAAGTTACAACACATTATGCCAAACATTGTAGGTTTTAAATCCTGTGTAAAACAAACCATTGACTTGGAAAGTATCATTGCGAAAGCTCAGAACAGAAGAACAAAGTTTCTAAAGAAGTGGGGGCCTTTTATTGAATATTGTGATCTGTAATTGTTTTTCTTTTTTCTTTTATTGTTGTTTTGTCTGTAATTTGTCATTGTAATTTTTGCATATTGAATAAAAAAAAAAAAAAACGGTCCTCGTATCCCAGAGGAGAATATAAAACAGCACGTAATGTCTTTGATAAACGACTTGGATTTCATGAGCGTGAATATAAGAGTATATAAGTATTCAATTAGAAATTGAAGCGGTGTGTAAAAAATAATCCAAGACAGATTTGTGAGCATACTGAAACTTTTTTGTTCAAGTGAGAAAACTTAAATAACTATACTTTTTGTGTGAAATAACAATATATATGCTGACATAAATGATGTTTTGGGTACCTGGCAACGATTTGTCATCGTTGTACTCGGAACATAGAAACATTTAAGGTCAATGTAATGACGAATTTTATGTCACTAATCCGAAAATAATTAAAGTTTTCATGAGATCAAAAATGTGGTTATGAGGAGTAAAAATAAAAACAGCTACTGGCATAGATAATAACACATATGATGTATTGAAATATGATAATATATGTACTACAATGTTTGTTTCAAATTGGTTCGATTTAGACTGGTCAATTACCCAGTACATGGTCTAAAAACATCAAATTGCCCATTCCCAAATGTAAAAGTAAGGATCCTAGAATTCCGAAAATTATTAGACCAACATTTTTTTTCATGAAAGGGATTTTGAAAGTATTCGTCTTGTCAGATACAAAGCTGGTGTGCTGTCATAGAAATTACTGTTAAAAGCAATGTCTTAACGAAGCGTTCATCATTTGTTTCAGCATTGAAGCACAGCGTTCACGATACCTACAGAGCTCAGGTGAAGTATTTCTCTCATATGCACATCCCAAAATGCACTTCACTTTCACATGTGACAAAACTACGGCGATGCGTGTCTACATGTTCGCAATCGGGATTAGAGCAAAGTTATTTGAATTTCACCGTGGGATATTTATTGTAATTTTGGAAAATAAGTCTCCCGTAGTGAAAAATTATCAATACTTTGTTTTTTTCTCAGAGTACTAGTACTGTAAATGTGATGGACTGGGGATGGCTGAATAGATATATTATTTGTGCAGACAGCTAATTTTAAAATGCTATTAAAGCGAAAATTGAATTTTCAGCATTTAGGGCGTCTTCACTGAAGTCACTGAATCGTATGTTGAATAAATAAATAAGTCATTGTGAAGAATGTCCATGGATTGAACCAGATACTAAATTTCATTATTGTACAGCCCTTCATAATTTATTAAATAACTTGTGTTGCTATTCACTGGGTTCAGGCGTTCTTAGTGCGATTTTTGTTTCGCGCGAGAGACGCCGGGAAACCAGCGAAATGTTGCTATTATTCCGGAGTGGACTGTTGACGACGGAATTCGGTCGATCAGAAACCTTTATTTTTTTCTTTTGGTCAAGTTGATCGAAATGAAAAGCGCTTTCAACAAAATATTGTCGCCAATATAACTGTAATACAGAATCACTGCCTTGTATTATAAACATAATACTTTATCTTGCATATAATTACCGTTTAATGCTAATTGTATTGTGCAAGTGATAGATCATAGATTTCTCAATAAATGCCTGTACATTTTTGTTGATTGCAGGTATTTGACATCGCAAAGAATTACCACTTTATTCATAGTTTGGCTTTATTTGCCGTGCCACTATGCAGACAACCACTACTTGTAAGTACCGTGTGTATCTTGTCGGCAGCGTCGGTCTGCATACTGAGGGGGGGGGGGGTCCATTGAAGGAATGTGTGTAATTGTGACGACTTCAATTCAACTTTACACCGACTTGTGACAGCAGGACTTATATTGTGACTACCCTCACTATTTTCATAATCTATATTAATATTTAATCGAATTCATGTCAATGTTGCGTAACTTACGTTTATGGTTTAATTATGATGGGAGGTATGGTTCAATTTATATTATTATTAATTTACTAAACCTAAGCTTCGCAAATATTGATAAGTCACGGGATATTCAACTTTTATTTAATTAACGTTGATTGCATTGTAATTGAGTTTAATTAAACTCCAATTAAAATGTAACTCTATATAGGAACGAGTTCTTATCGCAACTATATTAAAAGTTAATTCAACTATATTAAGGCGAAGTTAATCCAATGTGTGTCGTTACAACGACAGTAAGACGTGTATGTGTGTGTGTGGGTGTGTGTGGGGTGGGGGGTATTCCACATACAGAAATTTCGCTCATATAATTCCTGGAAGCATTCAAATTTAATAGTCAATAGATTATGTCCAGTTTTTATCTTGCCAAATTCATTATAATAAATCCAAATTTGAATATTTAACATAAAATAAAACTTCATTCGTCATGTTTTTGAACACTGAACATAGCGTATCATGGTTTGGTCTTTATCTTTGATTAACGGTGCTATGGGCTTTTATCATTTCTAGATAAGCCTCTCAAATTTGGTGACAGACTCTGTTTACAACTATAAACGTACTGTGGTAACTGCACTAAATACAGTTGTAACTGAGCAATACTGTAACAGGTTCAGTCGGCAATCTAATTGATAGTAATACCATTTTACTAATATTATAATAATGTCTTGTACTGACAATTTAACAATATTATAATGACATCCTCGAAAAGAGAGGGTTCAGATTTTCTTGTTCATGCCAAAAAATAGTATTTTAAGATCGACTATCTCCTAACTAAATACCGCGGCCCCAGATGCAATTTATTGTTTTCATCCTTGTTACATACAATAATATATTATTGTATAAATCTATGTCTCTATTTAAATGTTTTTCTGTTTTACTTCTAGGCTGGCACTCTGCTGACATCGGGCATTGTACTTTTCTCAGGCACTTGTTACTTACACTCGCTATACAATATGTATAAATTAAGACGTTACACGCCGATAGGTGGCGTACTTCTTGTAGCAGGCTGGCTTGCATTGGCAATTTAAACACTTTCCCACCGAATATGTACAAATGACAGCGTGTGCTAGTTTAAGTTGATCAGGTTTAACTTGACTACAATATATGTATTTTTAACGAGTAATTATGCAAACAGTTCATGGATTCATGGATTGTTCAAAATTCATATTTCAAAGTTCATAGTTCATGACATCACATCTGTCTTCGTCAAGAATTTCAATTTCAGACATACATAGTCTTGCCATTTCTACGGATTATTTACCATTGTCTGAAATTACACAGGGTATCTTTTCGAATTCGGGTGATGTTAATTTTGCATAAAATATAGAACTATTTGAGACAAATAGCGAGTTGTAGCTGTATTTTACAGCATACTTTTAAGAATGAGAAAAGATAATGTGTCTTGAATGGAAAGTGGGGGGAGGGTGCATAGTAAAATTCGAGATATGAAAGCCATTTTATATACGAAGAAATTAAAAATATCATTTGCCAAAATTTAACTAAATATATCACTCTATTGGCCTATCTGGTAGATATCAGTAATAGCGCGGACTGTTGCATATATTGTTGCAATTGTACGATGATAACGTCATCAATACACATTAGAAATGCCAATTACTACATAAATATTTGTGTCATTGAAGCGCGGTGGACGTCGCGCAGCGCGTGTTCGAATTTCCTGTAAACAAACAATGCATTTTACACTCGTTGTATACGTCGCTATGGATCCCATATCGAACAGGACGCGGCGCGACGACCACCGTCCTTTAACCGCCATGTGTTAATAAATCATCAGTTCCCACTATTTTTTTACGCGACCGAGTCTTAATTTTTTTGATCAGTAATCTTGTGGCTCAGTGATTCACAACAGCCCTAGTTTGTGTCAGTTGTATTTTACTCCAATGAGTTGAAGAACATATGAAACTCCAAATGTGTTGTACTCGTAAAGTGTTTTACAATGTGTGCATGGTATATATTAAAAGGCGGTTGTCTTCGCGGCATACGCGAGGTACGAGTCTCAACAAAGATGACAACATTGACTGTTGCACAGACCTCCGAGCACGTTATTAAGCTTTAGCGAGAAGGGTTTTGTGACATTTTCGAATAAAACATTCTCTGTCTGTTGTGTTGTTCAGAAGAGTAATTTAGCTTATATATTTCAAAAGACTAAGTATAGAGG